ATCAGCCTCTGTATGCTCAGATGATAGAAGGCTATCTTATCTGTAAGAGCAGCCCTTTGTACTCCAACCCTCCCCTCCCCATTCCCAGTCCTCTTAGGTCAGGATGTCCTATTTTTCTTTCTCATGCTTAATTCTTATGAAAATAGTTTCATTCACATTCATGGTTTCAGTTGCCTCCTGTATGTCAGTGACTTAAAGGTCCAACTGTTAAAAAAGCCTCTCCTCAGAAGATACTCATGACAATATTTCACTTAACTTAAACTTTGTCTTAACAAAAAATTCTTTCGCTCATACACTAAAAACCAATTCCTTGCTGGCTTCTTCAATTTATCTTCATTGGTGCTCACTCTGGTTCTGCTAATATAATCAGATATTTTACTTTGCTTCAGCCCCCGCATCTAAGTCATTAACCAGTTTTCCAGTTACTCCTTTAAAAAATTTCTTGGGCTCCTTTTCATCAGAGCTCCAACCCTATATTCTTCATGCTTCCAGACCCAAGCAGCCTATAAGCTGGCTGGGTCAACTCCAGCTCTACTATTACTCCTCTCTGGCTATCTTTCACACAGCTGTCAAAATGTTACTTAGTCGTAGTACTCACTTAGAACAGTAGAGTGGCTCCCTCATAACTACTCACTACATACCACACCAATTTGATTATACTCCATTTCCAGTATGTAAAGATACTCATTTTTTTCCTGCCAGCCATGTAGTTTTTCACCACTGGTTGATTTGCTCAGAGAATCTAACATTGACCTGAGTAAAACTAATAATTATACATTTGAAAGCAATTTTTACTTTTAGGTCACTTGTATAGTATGGATAACAGAATATGATCTATTATTAGATATATTAGATTTTTGCTTATTTGAAACTTTTTGAGTTGTTTTACCCACCATTGATGCATTAAGCGTCTTGCAGGAACTGGGTTTAGCATTTACTTTTTTTAAAACATTATTGATTTCAGAGAAGAGAGAGAGAGAGGGAGAAACATTAATGATGAGAGAGAATCATTGATTGGCTGCCTCCTGCATGCCCCACACTGGGAACTGAACCCACAACCCAGGCATGTGCCCTGATGGTGGAATCAAACCATGACCTCCCGGTACATAGGTCCATGCTCAACAACTGAGTAACGGCGGCTGGGCTAGCATTTACTCTTTGCTACTTCCCTCTGCCCCAAGCACAGAAAGGTGCACATTCAAAAGTTTGACAATAAAGTCATGAGCAGCTTAACATGTTCTGAGAAATCCTTTGTTAGATGATTTGTCATGTGAACACCATAGATTGCACTTACACAAACCTAGATGGCTTAGCCTACTACACACACCTAGGCTATAAGGTATACCACTGTACATGCAGTCCATCATCGACGGAAACATTATGCAGCACATGACTGTAACAGTTTCCTGTTCTGAACGTAGTGCTTAGAGGGAACATAAACTACCACACTATACACAGAAATTTGAAGGACTAATAATGGCAAATGACAAAAACATGAAAGGCTTTGATCTCTGCCTTTTTAAAAACTGCTGAAAACCTTGACTTAATGAATATATTATTCACATAAAAATCCTGTAAGATCTGTGCTAATTCTCAGGGAAAAAAAAACAACAAAAAACAAAAACACAAAACGGTGCATTTTGACCCAAATGCTGAATCTGCATTATTCTCATGTATGTAACTGTATAAGGAAAACCATGTTAAACTAGGTTCAGAATATAAAACAGTAAAAACTGTCTCCACTTCCTTTTAGGCAAATCAGGAGATATTATTGATTGCCTATAAATGATAAAACAAGGTAGATAAGCAATATTGAATACGTTTGTTGATTTTTAGCTTAAAAAAAAAATCAGGTAGCTATCCCTAAATTTGGTCAAAATTTTTAATTCTTAAAGTCAGTAATCTATAGGCCACTAAGAAAGATGTTTTAAGGGAGCAAGTTCAAAGTATTTACAACATGTGGAATATTTTTTTAAAATCTGAAAAAACACTGCAGCACTTAGAAAACAGACCTATTTAGCAATGAGTATATTATTTTTACCTTTCAAACATAAACTAATATCAAACCTACTAACTTAGTTGTTCCATTGATAGATTTAGTAACCAATTTTGACAAGTACCAATATCCTAACACTCATACATACCTCTCTTAATATCAGTTAAGAGAACATAAATTTAGTTCTATTCTCAATTACACTTTTCTCATGCATTCATACCACTGTATTAATGCACTGAAACAAATTACAGAACCAATTTTTAAGAATAATTTGAGTCCCATAAATCATAATTTGTTAAGGCTCACTGATAGGTTGAAAGGTTGCAGGTTGTTGGGCACATGCCCAGGTTTCAGGCTTGATCCCCAGTAGGGGGCATACAGGAGGCAGCTGATCGATGTTGCACACTCATGAATGTTTCTCTCTCCCTCTTCCTTCCAATCTCCAAAAATCAATAAAAACATATTAAAAAGAGAGAGAAGCCTGCAAACACTTGATTTCTAAGATAAGGTCATAGGAATATTAATTATAAAATACTGTAACTCTGCCCTAGCTGGTTTGGCTCAATGGATAGAGCATTGGCCTGCGGACCAAAGGGTTCCGGTTTCGATTCTGGTCAAGGGCACACCTTGGTTGCAGGCTCCTCCCCAGCCTGGACCCTGGTCAGGGCTCATGCAGGGTACAAACAATCCATGTATTTCTCTCACATTGATGTTTCTCTGTCTTCCCCTCTCTTACACTCTCCCTAAAAAAATCAATGGAAAAATATCCTCTGGTGAGATTAACAAAAAAATAAAATAAAAATACTATAACTCCTTCCTATATTTCCAAGATTTAATAGAGAGGAGACAGAACAACACATGGGGATTAAATTCAAAGAAGACACAGATTGAGGTAAACGAAAACCAGGTTGCATTGATTCTAAGTTTGCTGCCCCACATCTAAAGTCAAGATGATTAAAAAAGCAAAGCAAAACTCTTTCAAAAATAGTTTTTAAAACTTTCTACTCATATAAAAAGCTGAGCCAACATTAAAGTCAAAATAGGGTTTTTATATTTTTCAGAAAAATTAAGTGAAATATCCTTCTGGTTTTCTCTAAAATTCCAGTTTCGACAAGTATCCCTGGGGACATTAAAAGGAGCTTGTGAGTTTTCTGACTGATTACTTTAGCATTTTTCCGTTTAAGCACTTAAGTCCTTCTACATATGATTTGCATTCCTAAGGTGCAGTTACTATTTTGTATGAGAGATAATGGTGCTTTCTGTGTAACCACAGCCCTATATCTATCAGCAAAATACAAATATATATATATTTTGACCTAGAGGATGGTATTGGCATTTATTTCACTCTTTTAAACTCCTATGAAGTAGGTGTTATTATCATTCCCATTATACAGATAAGGAAATAGAGGCATCTAACCAGGTTCACATGCTAGGAAGTGGCAGAACTGGGATTAAAAACCCTGGAAATCTGGTTCCAGAGATTACATTCTTATTCATAAAATGTCCATTTTGTATTTTTACTTTTAAATAAATTAATGTATTTCCTACCAGATCTCAACCAGGGTGATTTTGCCTGTCAACACCTGCTCTCTTCCCCTTCCCCTAAATCTAACTAGAGGACAGCTGGCAATGGCATTACTGGCATCTAGTGGGTGGAGACCACGGATGCTACAAGAATCCTGTCATGCACAGGGCAGCCTCCCACAACTCCTTCATTATCCAGCACAAAACATCCATGGCGCTGGCTGAGAAACTCTACAATAGAATATAAATTCTAGGAGGTCAGGGTACTAAGTTAATCTCACCGCTCTATTGTCAGACTTAGAACAATGCTTAAAATGGAGTACTTAAATTTTATCTGTTGATTACCTGTTTTTAAGAGCCTAGAACTGAGCCTGATACATAGATGGTAGGTAACACACATTTGAATTGAGGGTTGTCCTAGCCGGTTTAGCTCAGTGGATAGAGCGTTGGCCTGTGAGTTGAAGGGTCCTGGGTTTGAATTAGGACAAGGGCATGTCTGGGTTGTGGGCTCAATCCCCAGTAGGGGGCTGTGCAGGAGGCAGCCAATCGATGATTCTCTCTCATCATTGATGTTTCTCTCTCCCCCTCTCCCTTCCTCTCTGAAATCAATAAAAATATAAATATTATAAAAAAGAGGGTGCCCTCAAAGAGGGTCAGATGGATGCAACAGGACACAGTAAACTGAAGTGACTTTAGTGCTCCACAATCCCATGTCTTTTGGGTTTAATTTTCTCCCAATGACTGTAAATACAACCAGTTCTGCCAAAATAAGTCTTTTAGTTAAGTGGGGCTACTGCAAGGACAAACATTTATTTATTTTTTATAGATCCATGGAACCTTTAAAGACACAAAGATCCATGGAACTTTGTGAGTTAAATATATAAGGAGTAAGACCCTTTTCTTCTTTAAATGGAAGTATCCAATTCAAATAAAATCTATTTAGGGGATTGGCAGATACCCCTAAATGAGATGGTATCAGTAATTAATTGATGATATACTCCAGTGGCTGACAAATACTTTAAGAAAGTTTGAGTTAACATTTGTTTGCAAGTGTCAACCACCCCCCCCCAAAAAAACTGAATTACAGTACACATAAGACAAAGAGAGACCTATTATCTAAAAAGAAAGTACTTGAGTCCACTTCATTCAAAAAATTTTATAACCATAATATTCTAAGTATAACTTCATCCTATATTAAAAAAAAAATCCAAATGTGTAACATCTGTCAACATATTTTCAATTCTTCCTCTTACACCTCAAAGAGCTATTAAACATTACGCAGAAGGCATATGTTCCTAAGTAGTATTGCTTGATTTACAAAATTCTTTCCCAAGGATAAATTCAAAAGGTTGTTATATGGATATTCAAATAATACTAGGGAAAAAATGACATATTTCACTTATTCTGTACGTAATGAATGAGTCTGCTTGCCCAAATGTTAAATTATGAAACCACACTATGTGAAATACACCTATTAGATTTAAAAAGAAGTTAAATCTATATTTATTTACTAGCACTGTTAAACATTACACAAAACACATTCAAGTGGCAAGTAATTATAATGCAAGCCCTTGCATGGCAATCCAAATTTATTGAACTACTGATGCTAAGTTATACAAAATTGCACCACTTTAATTAAGGCTTTTAGTTTACATTTGGCCACCTCTAAGTAGTTGTAACATTAGGTTGGTCAATTTAAATACTGTGGCTCCCTGTTGGATAGACACACAATCTTTACACCCAAACATTAATGCATACAAAGCAACAAGGCATTGTTAAATAAAACAGCAATAGTTACTGCAACTTGGGCCTTGTGACCAATTATACATGATTAAAATTACTTCCCACATTCACATCCACAGTACTCGTCCACCATTTAACATCTCAACCAAAACGTTACACATGTGAAACAATCACTAACAGGCAAAAATACTAAACCTGTATATTTGGTATTGCAAATACACGTATGCATGAGCAAGCAAGGGGTTCACAGTGAGAATCTACAGCTGCAGAAGCCTGAAAATGATTTACAAAAATTGTTAAATCATTAAAAAATTGTTTGAAAATATACACTTCTTGTTGTAGACCCCCACTGTACACACAACTATAAACATTGTTCCCTATGTAAACAAAAAAGGAAACATATAATAAGAGATTTGAAAAATCTGGACATTTCCTTCCCAACAGATATTAAAGGCAACGTCTTTAATCTAAGACATTATACTGAAAGGACTACTGTATTTTTTAAAGACAAGATCACTGTCTCCACAGGTTTTTTAAAAATTAAAAAAACTATATAGCTGTGTTAATCAAAGCGCTTATTTGTATAATACAATGATAATGACCTTGATTTTCTTAAAAAAAATTACAATAAGCTACAAGTATCAAAGAAGCAAAGTTATCTGGAGTAGTCTATATAGGAGCTCTTTGGACTTTCTTTTATTATGCTAAAATAGTGGTGCTTTTAGGATTTACATTATTGTACTCTCCAAAACAAAGTATGGGGCGTGTTATAGTATACAGTACACCATTTTCATACATGTACAACATTGGTGGATGAAAATGTCTCTTAGCAGTAATACTGGATTGTAGCCTCTGGTTTTACCAGATGCATACACTAGGGCTATTATATAAGTAAAAATCTCTCTTGTGATACTGGAAAGTGATTAGAATGTGCAACTGATGTAGTAGCTTTCATCCGCCTCTTAAAGGGTACCACCACAGAAAGTCCATTTAAGATGTTGGTAGGTTTAACAAAGTTGGAATGCTGGCACTGTTGAATTGGGCAACAGTTCTTCAGACCTGTCAAAAGAAAAAAATAAATTGCAAACATGGGTTGAAAATAGCACACAAAAGAGCCAAAGGAACACATTAAGACAACAGTGTTCAAGGTTTAAAAATGAATAGAATGCAGACTCTTGTCCTCATTACATTAATGACGTTGTACCACAACTCATAGCAAAGCAAAGCAAGGGTAGATGTTTTCATCTTTTTAGAATGACTTCATCTAACCTGCTGCCCTCTTGAAAGCTAGTCAAATGAAAGTCTTAGATAAAAAAGGGAGTATCCCTTAGTGCAAATCTGTGTATTACCTTCCAAAGATTAAAAGCAGGGGGAGGAGGGAGGAAACCACATTGAAATTTTACGTCAGTTCAACTTCATTAGAATTAAGATGAAAAGACAGCAATATTAACAAATTGGTGATTCTACAAGTGTTCACAATCCTAGAATTACATCATAAGTATAGAATGCACAGCTCACTAAGGTTCCTAGTATCAGAAAATCAAGGCCTTTCTTCCTCGCTCTTCCAATAAGAGTGGCTAAAAGCTGGTTCTGAGAAGCAGACAAGAAATTATCCTATGATGGCTCTTTACAGTTGAGTTATATATATACTTTCTAATTCCATATTTAAACACATTCTATCAATTTTTAGATGTCAGAAAAAAGGCTAGTATTACACTAAAATCATGTAAACTTAAAAAATTGTGATATAAATAAAAGAAGTCAAAACACATTGCCAAATATCTATTTACTTTGGATGATTTTCTCCATACATGTCTGGGCTAAAAAAATGTTCCCTTTTTTACTGTTTTTTGTGGGGATCAGACTTATTGCGAGCTCCAGAAATGCTGTTAATACGTATGTGTTTGATTTCCCAAATGCCTCGAACTTTAAGCCCTCATTTAGACTGAGTTTGCTAAGTTTTTCTAGCAGACTGAATGTAGCAAATTGGAAGGGACAGGTGGGAATGTGTGAGTTCAGGCACATGTGTGCTAAGAATGGGCATGTATGTGGTCAGGAAAGAGAGAATATCAGAAGTGAGAGGATATACCTCTAAACAGAAAGCCTTAAACAGAGAGTAGGGTCAAAACCCCCCAAAAGATACAGAACCAGAGTGCTATGGTAGTACAGGGCCATTTAATTTAACATAAGCAGCAGCAGAATCACAAGCACATAAAGTGCCCAAGGATAAGAGTACAGTACAATATGGTTTAACACTGAGCAGGGAACCATTATTATTGGCAAACAGCAGTAGCTAAATGGTTGAGGATTTATCATGTGCCAGGCACTGATCAATTGCTTTATAAGGTTTAACTCATTTAATATGATTATTTTCAAAAACTATATAAAAATGTTATATGCTCAGTTTTCCTTTGCTATCTCATTGGTGGGCTGAATTTGTGGTTCTCTCTGGCTGGAATTCTCCATCCCCTACACAATTTCTATTTGACTTTTCTATCTCAGCTTAGATGTCTCTTACAGACTTTTCCTGAATCCATAGTTCATGTGACATACCTGATTTGGTGTCCCAGTTACATGCTCCTATAGTACTCATTATGACATAGTACTCATTAGTAATGAAGCATGGACTTGGCAGCCAGTCCATGGCTTAAATTATGTACTCCAGATCACTGGGTTTAAATTCTGGCTTTGTACTTACTCACTGCAGGGCTTGAACAAGTAATCTTTTTGTGTCTCAGTTCACTCATTTGTAACATAGACAGTATTTAAAAAGAGTGCCTGGCATATGATAAACGTGTCATGAATTCTTATTATCAGTACCAGGCTGGATTTATTCTATAACAGCATTTATCATAGTTTGCAATTATTTGTCCAACTCTACCACTAGACTTCAATTAAGGCAATGAAGAAGCGAAGAGAGGTCAGTATTGTTCATCACTGTATTGTCAGCAAAAACCAGTGTCCCATTGGGGCATAAGCATATATTAAATGAACTAGAATATTCACTTATGGGTAATACTTCTGATGATATGTAAATGAAATAATTATTTTAATCACTAGGATATTATACTAACTCATCAATATCTTAAAAGGGAAGTAATTATTTCTTTTTTAGAACAAGAAAAAATTCTATACTTGCTGTCTTAACAAGAGTGCCCTAAATGAAGTTGAGGTTACAAGTTAAAAGATTTAAAAAAGGAGGAAAATAAACGAACATACCTGGCTCAGAGCTACAATGCATTTAGTATATTAAAGCAGCTGACATGATGACTTTTTGCGGGCCTTCCCAGGCACTGGAGTTTTTCTGTTAATTTGCCGCACTAGGTCATAAAAGATCTGCAAACACACATATATATATTTTTAATTTATAGGAGACAAAAAACTAAAAACAACAACAACAAAAACAAAAAAGTAAAATTAAAAAATAGAATTTTCCATGGATATAAATGAACCCAAGAAAGGAAATATTTTTTTTTCAGTTAAGAAATAAGAGTAAAACCAGGTATTCTTATAAATGCCAAGTTCTTTTCTGTTTATTTTTTGGGAGGGCTAAAATTGTTCTCCTTAAAATAAGTACTGAGTTGAAGGAGCTACAGAGATCTTAACCTTAGTTCAATTAGAAAATTTACTCTTCTTCAGATCTTTCCATGTATCTTTACAATACGACTTTAAGCCCCTTCAAGGCAATAACTGCATACTTTTTTCAATTTGCTCTCTTTTAAATAACACATCTTTCATATACCCAAAGGCTTAATTCGTCTTCCCCACCCCTACCATTTTTTTTTTCCAGCCTTCCTTCCTTTCATGGTTTATTCCACTTTAATGATGAGGTTAAAATACATTGTTGCTTATTAACATGCATATTATTTAATAGAAGATTTTTGCCTAAAAGGATTAACAAAGCACCCTTGAGCCCTAGCTGGTTTGGCTCAGTGGATAGAGAGTTGGCCTGTGGACTGAAGGGTCCTGGGTTCGATTCCAGTCAAGGGCACATGCCTGGGTTGCGGGCCCATTCCCCACCCAGTAGGGGTCGTGCAAGAAGCAGCCAATCAATGATTTTCTTTCATTATTGATGTTTCTATCTCTCTCTAGCTCTCCCTTCCTCTCTGAAGTCAATAAAAAATACTAAAAGGAAAAAGAAAAACAACAACAACAAAAGCACCCCGAGTACACATTAATTTGGGGTTGTGTTAATACACATACGTTATTTTCCATTAATTCTGCATGTTGAATTCCAAATAGAAATTTTAAAGTATAGTTCACCATACCTCATTAACATTTATTTTTGATTTTGCAGAGGATTCTAAGAATGCACAGTTGTTCCACTGTCTTGCTAGATTTTGACCTTGTTCCTTTCCTACAACTCTTTCATCTTCCAAGTCACACTTATTACCAACCAGAATCATTGGAACCTAAAAATATATTTGTGAGGGTAAAAAGAAATAAGTAAATAAATATATGCTATAAATTCAAATTCAAATTCAAAGAATTCTTAGAGTCAACTCTAAGGATTATTTTTTATATTACACCAGAGAAAAATATTAAATTAATTATTTGTAATATAATTTACAGTTAAATATGAAAGCCTTAATAATGTTAATTTAAGAATCTTTCACATGAAAATTTTAGAAAACAAGCAAGGATCTGTTTATGAAAGGGGAAAATAACCCTTAAGATTATATCACAATGGACTTATAACTGATTATAATAAGCAAAATACAAAACTTTTTCAAAAAGGAAGTACCAAAGGGTGTTGCTGTAAAAAGCCAGTATATCCCCAAATTTTAAAATGTTTCTTTTAGAGATGTGAATCAACTTCAAGTTTTCTGACACATATTTATCAAATAATTATTCTCAATTTTACAACTTAAAAAGGAGAAATTTGAAAAGTCCCTAGAGTAGAATTTTTATTTAGAGTCTAATCAAAATGCTACAAAGTTACAATCATCTTGATTTACTAAAATCTAGACCACATTAATCATGTGTTTGCATGCGTGTGATGTTGTAATTTTAAAAGGACACTATGGAAAAATAATACTTATTCTTCAAAACTCCCTTTAATCATTTAGAGATTGACTTTCTAAAGAATTTTGGGGGAAAAAATCCAAACTAGAAAATCAAGAATTTTGGCTTTTTAGGAAGATATAGAGTATCCTATTTAATAAAGAGGGAATATGCTAATTGACCCTCACCATCGCAAAGATGGTGGTGCCCACAGCCAATAAGGAGGGAATATGCTAATTGACTGCCCCATCCTCAAAGATGGTAGCACCCACAGCCAATAAGGAGGGAATATGCTAATTGACTGCCATGTACTCAAAGATGGCGGTGCCCACAACCACAGATGGCCAGCAGGGGAGGGCAGTTGGGAGTGACCAGGCTGGCAGGCAGAAGCGGTTAGGGGCAATCAGGCAGGCAAGTGGTTGGGAGCCAGCAGTCCCGGACTGTGAGATTGGGCCTAAACCAGCAGTCGGACATCCCTCGAGGGGTCCCAGATTGGAGAGGGTGCAGACTGGGCTGAGGGACAACTCCCCCCGCCCCTGTGCACGAATTTCATGCACCGGGCCTCTAGTTATATTAATAAATACTTGTTTAATGCAACTGATAGAAGAAAAGTACAGTAGTTACTACAGATAATACAAAACAGATTTACTAATTAAGAAGTGCTTCACTGAGGTCACTATAAATATGTAGGGTGCCCCAAAGTTTTTATTTCAGAAGTCCAAGAAACAACAGCATTTCCTAGAAGTCTCACAATATTTACCATAATTAAATTATAGATATTACAGTGGTTCTTAAAATTGTTGGGCCAGACCAGCAACATCAACACCATCTAGAAACTTGTTAGAAATACAAATTCTTGAGCTCAATCCCAGACCTAATGAATCAGAAACTCTGGGAGTGGGGCAGGTGGGGCCTGGCAATCTGTTTTAACCAGTTTTAGCTAGTGATTTAATGCAAGATGAATTTTGAGAACCACTGCTATATAGAGTAAGATAAGGAATTAAAATAATCCTTTTGAAGTTTCCTACAGGGATTAAACTCCATTATGGTGCACTTTGAAGGGGCATGTAAATTAACATTAGAATCTAATATATTTGTTGGTTTTCTGAAAAATAATTATTATTTTGCTCCTTTTCTGTCAGTTTCTTTAGATGTGTTCATATGTTAAAAAGGCTCTTAAATATACCAGTAATGTGGCCAGAACATAATTTGCTCTATTAGTTAACATTTGTCACCCACATCTGTCCTTCTTCCCCACCAAATGCATGATTTAAAAATGGGAAGGATATAAATTTTATTTTACACAGGTTAAGGGGAGAGGAGTGTTTTCACTTTCCACATTATATATATTTGAAATAGGTATGAGGGTTAAAGATATATTTTGGCCTCTCAAGGAAAAAGCTTTTGAAATACAAGCCTCCCAAATAAATACATCAACTTTAAATTCTTAGTTTTAAATTGGATATCACTACAATAAGAGTTTAAAATAAAGTACATTTATTTATTAGGATGTCAGCTTACATCATCAGTGTCTTTAACTCGAAGAATCTGTTCTCTCAGATCTTGTAAATCATTAAATGTGGACTGTGCTGTGATGGAATAAACTAATGCAAAGCCTTGTCCATTTTTCATGTACAAATCCCTCATTGCTGTAAATTGTTCCTACAATAGAAAGAATCATTAAAAAATAATGTTGTGACAGTTAATTTGACAATTTTTAAAGTCTATAATTAGAGCTCAATGAAGAATATTGTAGTATTATGTAACATATCTTTAAATTACAATCTGTGGCAAGATGCTATTTGAAAAGCTGATATTTCAAAAAATAAGCTTTTAATTTAAAAATGATACACCAAAGCAGATTTAGGTGCAAAAACTATACTCAAGTGGAACAGAAATATCCTGTCTCTAAAAGCTACTTAATGGAAGCTTTTAATATTTTATAACTTGTAGGGCACCCAAATATGTCCCCAAGTTACAGCTAAGCTCATAGTGCTCTAGTTCTATGGGGTCCACCAGCATGCTTACCTACATCTTGCCATTTCCCATACCTTTTCTCTTCCATTAGGGAAAGAACACAGCCCATGGCACATATCAGGTACTCAAACATTAGTTGAATGAATACCATATATCCAGAATAAATCTTTCCTTTACCTTCAGATACCAACAAATCTAGTTGGTTTGTAAATACTTTAAAGGAGGAACGATATCATTCAAAATATTTCACACAGCTACAGAGGAATAAATATATCTTATAGAAATAAATAAGTATACCCAAGTATTTTCCACATTATTTAAAATGTGGTAATAAATTTTAACATGCTTTAAAAGTACTAGTGAGACTGAAAATTTTCATCCAAACAAGTTTCTACTTCTTTTTAAATAACTGACTCCCTGTAATTACAAAGGTCACACAGAAAAAGTAGAATTCAAGAATAAAAAAGCTTTACAATTTAATGTAAGTAGTACTTTTAAATAAGCTTAAAAAACATCTGTCTATAGAATATTAGCATTTACAAGGACAATACTGCATAAGTTGTGCATATACTTTGGTTCTTCATTTTACATACCGTTCCTGCAGTATCCAAGATTTCAAGCATACACTGTTGTGCATCTACTTCAACTTGCTGGGGGGGGGGAAAGACAAAATAGACCTTCATTTTTTTTTATATATAGATATATATATATATATAAACAACACTATCTTAATATACACAAAAGCTAATATGATATTTAAAACAGAGACAGATTATAGCAACTCTAATCTCAAGCAATACTTTAACGTAAGAAAAATATAGCTAGATAATTAAGGTCCACCAACTTTGTATTAGGTGCAAAAACCATGTATTCCGACTCAACACAGATAGTGACAAGATCCAAGCTCAATATGAATCACTAAACACTTTATTCTGGAAAGGAAATTATTTCAGCCCTAGCTGGTTTGGCTCATTGAATAGAGCGTCAGCCTGCAGACTGAAGGGCCCTGGGTTCGATGCTGGTCAAGGGCACATGCCCGGGTTGTGGGCTCAGAGCCCAGTGGGGAGCGTGCAGGAGGCAGCCGATCAATGCTACTCTCTCATCATTGATGTTTCTATCTCTCTCCCTCTCTTTCTTCCTCTCTGAAATCAGTAAAAATATATTAAAAAAACCAAAAAAACAAAACAAAACACAACACCACCCCTTCATTAAAAAAAAAAAAGGAAATTATTTCAAAAAAGCTTAAAAAATTAAAACCAGTTGTAGTGAGAATAATATCAGAAGTGATTCTGCCTACTGCAATTCTGCCAATATTTTAGAAAGAGTTTCATTTTTCTAGATAACCACTTCCCCCCTTCACTGTATTGGAATAAAATTTCTGGTAGCAAGGAAGCAGAGGACAGCTAAAAAATAAATTGTGTTTCTCTGTTACCATCTTTCACCCAACATTTTCTAGGGAAAAAAGTTATTTAAAATTAGCTGTGGAAAAAAAGTTCTACTGCCTCACAGCTAGGGTGCAGGAAGGGCTTTCCAGTTTTGTTTTGTTTTTGTAGACTGTGGACAAAGGAGGGAATGAAACGCACTGACTGCACAGCAGCAGGGGCTATGTTGGCTGCTACATAAGGTGAGGCATAACTTTCTTGCTATTACGTTAAAATGTCTCCACATTAAGTTCTATTGTCATATGTTGTGTTAGCGAACATCGCAATAAACCTTTCTATTATGAGCAGTGACACTTTCTCAAAGAGTTATTAGTAGGAAGGTTAGGGAGACTCCTGTACTCACATCTTTAGGTTAAAATGAAGGGAACCCGAGAGTATTTTTTCATCTTTGGGGTGGGGTTTGGATAGACCATGAAGCTACTACTTGAAATGGATGGCCTAGCTCTTAAGTTTATTTGTCAAATTAAAATGGTGGGGTCATGATAAACTTGAAATTCTCAGAGAGAGAAAGAGAGAATGAGAGGGACAGCGAGAGCCAAGTCTTCAAGAGCCTCATAAACTGGTAGACATGCAATGCCAAGAAATAATCAAGTGTAAATTTTTCCCACTATGTAAATAACATTCAATAATTATAAAGCTAAAACCAATAATTTATATTTATAGTAAAGTGAAAAGCAAAAGGCCTTTAAAAGTAACATATACCTTTCTATAAGAATCTTCTATCGTAGGATCATATTTTTCAACAAAAATTCCTTGAACAAACTGTACAGTCTGAAAAAAATTAACATAGCATTATACTTCTAAAGAAAAGAACAAATCCAAATCTGTACATTTCAAACTATTGATTTCACATAGTAGTTATGCCACTGATAAAAAACACAACCACATTTGAATGCATGCATTTGGTAAGATTACCTTAGAAAGTTGTTTTTTTTAAAAAGTAATCACTATGCTCTTTGTTAGGTAATTCTAAATTTAGAGATCATACTATATTTAAAAATTTTTAAATATTTCCAGTTTCAATCTTAATTGAATTTTAATTAGAAAGTGGCTAATTGTTTTGTGTACAGACATGTGTGTACACTCATAACACTTCCCCATTACTCTGGATATAATTACACATGAAAAAGCAGCTCATGCTCTGTTGTACACACTTCTCAGTTTGATTTCAGCATGTCAAGTTCTGTGCTAAGTGGCCAAGTGAGATGATCAATCTATCTTATTGTGGGGCTTTGCTAAACTCTCATCTATTCATCAAGTTATTTTCCCTAAGTTTCTTCCCTTTCCCAACCACCATCAAGCTGTGTCTTTTTTCTTGCTATACTATTCCTTGATACAGAAAATATGACTGTCAAAATAATGTAAAAACTGTATCGTCAGAGGTGTTATTTGAAAAAGGTTTTTTATAAGCTTTATTTAATATTTTCTAACATAAAAATATATATAATGACAAAGACCAAAATTAACTCCTATGTGGCTCTGAAATGCACATTTTTATATGCTCTCACCCTCTGTGCTGAGCTCACACTGTATTCTGGCATATTTCATGTTGGTCTGGAACCAGTGTTCCAGAGAAAATATGATCTACCCAGATACAACTAAGAGTTGACTAAAATTATAAGAAAAATATTACATTGCTTCTAAAATTACTGAAATTTCACCTTAACAGATAAACGAAAACCAACAATCAAAACCTAAAACTCAACAGAAGAACATGTCTTGGAGTGAAGAGCTTAGGTATAGTGAGAATGACTTACCAGAGCGGATTTTCCAACGCCTCCTGAGCCAAGAACGACTAGCTTATACTCACGCATGGTGCAAACCTGTCAAAAGCTAGTACCTATTAAAGAAAAGAAAAAAAATCTTAAGTAATATCTCTGTAATCAGGTGGTCCTTATATAAATAAGACCTTCAAGCAAATAGATTTATTTAAAGATGATTACTATACCACACTAATATGGAGCATCCCATAAACAGACTTACTAAAGAATGGGCTCTTTTAACACATCAGATGCAGAAAGAAACTGCAGAATTACAGATATGACTTTCAGCATTTCCTAAGTTCAATTAGAATAAAATATTTACTCTATTAAGAAAAAAAATGGGGGGAGGAGGCTGAAGAAAAGCTTGAAAGGATATTCTATTGGTTATAAGATGGCAGCAACAGACATGTTTACCCTCCTTTCTATCCTGAGTCACAAGTAATTGAATGCCTACTAAGTATAGGAATATACCAAATTGGGGGTGGGGGAAGGGAAAATCCTGCCTTCACTGAGTTAATATTCTAGAAAGATAAATAGGATAGGGCAGGAGTCTATAGACAAATCCAGCCCACCATCTGTTTTTATACATAAAGTTTTATTGAAATACAGCCATGCCTATTCATTTGTGTATTGTCTGTGGTTGCTATCTTGCTGTGATGGCAGTTAAGAAGTTACAGCAGAGACCATCTGGTCTGCAAAGCCTAAAATATTTACTTTGCCATTTATAGAAAAAAAACTGCTGACCCCTGAGATACATGAATGGTAAATGAGTTAGCAGAGAAAGCAGACCAAATATTCATTGCTGAAATGGGAGAGGTACAAGGTGTCTGAAAATGGTCAGGAATCAGTGGCAAAATTGAATATGAATGCCCAGACTCTCTTCAATATTATGAAATACTAAGTATCAATAGCAATAAAACAAAAAGAAGCAAACTATACTAAGGCTTATCAGAGACACTAAAAGTTTCCATAATAGGGGAGAACATGAGAATACAAAGCTCCCACATTCCTAGGGGGAAAAAATTTGGTCAGTGGCCATGATACAAAAGTAGCCACCAGAACAGGTTCTAAACTTTCTTCTTAATCAAGAAATAATAGTTCTTTAGTCATAGCAACAAGTAACTACCAGAACTGGTTTAAAAACATTTAATCAACTAATAATTGTTTGCTTCAGTGAATATGATTCTGTAAACCAGTCACTATCTGATAGCCCCTTCTGAAAGTCAATCATAAATGGACTCACTTTGGTATATTTCTTTGTGTTAAATCTCTTTATATGTTCTTTCTTCCAGCTTATATTCTTAGAAAAGATATCCTTTGTTTAACCTATATCTCTATGACACTCCTTTATTTCTCAAGATGCCAGGCTTATTGCCATGAACTTTCTTTCAATACTTTCTCCTTCACTTCTACCTAATATATATATACACACACTGAGTGGCCAGATTATTATGACAACCTGACGTTTGTAGGCAAATTAGCTATAATTTCGAACTGAAGTTGCTAGAGGGCCAGACCATTATAAATAGGGAAGTAGGTTGTTTACCACGACAGTAGAAATGGTTTTTTTTCCTGAAGATATGGGTAAACAATGTGATTTAACGGCCTTTGAACTTGGGATGACACACACACACACACACACACACACACACACACACTCCCCCCAAGTGGCCACATTATTATGACCACTTGACGTTTGTAGGCAAATTAGCCGTACACTGCATCGTATGGGATATGAAAGCCGAAGGCCTGTTTGAACACCTTGCTGTCTGCAGTTACCAAGATAAAACGTCTCCAATTCGCACAGTAACACAAGGATTGGACAGTTGAGCATTGGAAAAAAGTCATGTGGTCCAATAAATCACGTTTCCAGTTGCATCATGCAGATGGCAGAGTGAGAATTTGGCGGAAACAGCATGAAAGCATGCACCCCACATGTATGAGTACAACCCTTCAAGCTGGTGGGGGCAGTGTTATGGTTTGGAGCATGTTTTCCTGGCATGATTTGGGCCCTTTAATTCGTGTGCAACAACCTCTGAATAGCACAACATACCTAAGTATCGTTGCTGATCAAGTTCATCCTATCATGTTGATGGTGTATCCCAATGGAGATGACTTCTTCCAATAAGACAATGCACCATGCCACGGTGCTCGTATTGTGCAGGAGTGGTTTCAAGAACATGAGGGAGACTTTACCTTGCTTAGGTGGCCCCCACAATCACCAGATCTCAATCCAATTGAGCATTTGTGGGACAAAGTTAAAAGAGCCATCAGGCAGCTGGTTCTACAACCATCAAATCTCACAGAACTGGACAGTGCTATTCATCAGTCATGGTGTCAGATTCCTCGCATCACCTTTCAACAACATCTCATGGAGTCAATACCAAGAAGAATCGCCGCAGTATTGAAGGCAAAAGATGGCCCAACGAAGTACTGATGGGGTGGTCATAATAATCTGGCCACTCAGTGTGTGTGTGTGTATCTATCTATCTATCTATCTATCTATCTATCTATCTATCGCCACTCAGTGTGTGTGTATCCATCCATCCATCCATCCATCCATCCATCCCACGTTCAAAAGCTGTTAAATTGCGTTGTTTACTCATATCTTCAGAAAAAAATCACTTCTACTGTCATGGTAAACAACCTGCTTCCCTATTTATAATGGTCTGGCCCTCTAGCAGCTGCAGCATGAAATTATAGCTAATTTGCCTACAAACGTCAGGTGGGCGTAATAATCTGGCCCCTCAGTGCGTGTATGTATTCTCATTCTCTCTCTCTCTCTCTCTGCCCGGCGCACGAAATTCGTGCACAGGTACGGCCCCTAGGCCTGGCCTGCAGTCAGGGCCTAGCCTATTTATCTTTCTAGAATATTAGCTCAGTGAAGGCAGGATTTTCCCTTCCCCCACCCCCAATTTGGTATATTCCTATACTTAGTAGGCATTAATTCACTCCTGCCTTTGAAAGTTTGTTGATCTTTAAACTCTAATTCCCTAAAACCATATAAAACTAGCAGTCTGCTCTGTTCAGGGAAGACTGTGTCTGACTAGGATAGCTTGTTTCTTAAAGTAATCAATAACTTCAGCTTTGTTTTTTGTTTCAGATATGAATAGTCTCTCATTCTTTGACAGTTGACCTAAGACCTTCATTTGGCATCATTCCAAATGAAGCGCTTAGACAAACAAGTGTACTAACACTTGGAGTGCGGGAAACGAGTTAAGTCGGCTCACGTGAATTGCGCGTACTCCGCGGGAGCCGTCTTTAACTCGGTTCATATAGATTTGCGGTGGAGTGCGGGAAACGTGTAAACTCGGGCCGATTGTAACTGCGTATTACCAAATATTTGTTTGTAATCCACCCTTTTGGTGGATGGAACAAAACCAAAAGACAGAGCCATCTTATATTTTGGCGGGAAATTCACCCGCACTCCAAGTGCTAAATAAATAGGCTGCTTTTGACCCACTGCTATTTGTTCTTTGAACTTACTGTCAGATGAGTCAGTCTTAACAATGGTGGGAGCTCCAATTGGTTCCTTGAGTTTTCATTGTTAAATTTATTTTGTTATCCTAGGACTTGCAAAAAAAACTGATCTTTGCGTAAGGCAATTAGGCCTTTAGGTTTTGGCTTGGAGGTATATTGTTTGGTAAATATTTCTGCCATTAGTTTAATTCTTTAGTTACTTGCTTTGCTTTTGTCCATCTATTTGTGATGTGTTTTGTGTTTTCCTGGACTGTCTAGTTTCATTCCCTGAATAGAGGATGCTTCATTTGGAATAGATGGAGGCATAGGCCTGATGAGCCTCCAATTAAATTCAAACTAGCCCCAAGTACTAAAAGGTTGAAGATGAGTAAAACCAGTGACAAGCAAAGGTGAATGACTGTCAAATTTCACCTTGGGTCACTTTCAAAACCTTCATGATGGCATATTATAAGGTCAATAACTGTAGAATTGTTGATTATGTGGTTCCTTCCTAACCTCTACTTGGTTAGGGAACCTGAGAATCTGTTTGCAAGGGCACATCTTTTTTTTTTTTAAAGTACTCAAATCATTTTTAAAAAAATATATATTTTATTGATTTTTTACAGAGAGAAAGGGAGAGGGATAGAGAGTTAGAAACATCAATGAGAGAGAAACATCGAACAGCCGCCTCCTGCACACCCCCTACTGGGGATGCGCCTGCAACCAAGGTACATGCCCTTGACTGGAATTGAACCTGGGACCCTTAAGCCCGCAGGCCAACGCTCTATCCACTGAGCCAAACCGGTCAGGGCTCAAATCATTTTTATTTAGGAATAATTTACATCTAATGAAACAAGTAGATCTTAGGCATTAAATTAGTTTTGACATTTTCTAGTACTGGCAACCACAAACACAGCCCTCATTAAAATTTAAAACACTTTTATCACCTATAAAGTTCCCAATGTGCCTCTTCTAAGTAATTATCATGACACCATTTTTCTTGTCTCTAGTGATCTCTTTCTTATTTGTCAAAGCCAAAACCTTCTCTAAGTAGAATTTGTGTCTTTTATAAACTTCCAATATAATCCTGATTCTTGCACTTAAATTGGTAAATGACAAAAATTGTGACTAACAATTGTGACTTAACAACTAGACTGATGGTCAACTTTTGGAATGTCAAAATTAATACCTTAATAGGAACTAAAATTTTATGAAGAATTATGGGACAAAAATAATACTGAATAATTAACTTCTTTAATTGGTACTCTGGGGCTTCAAAATATGACTAAAATAGTCTCTCTTTTGTTCTCTGCTGCTCAAATCTTTGGAAACCTACCCTCCCTGATTCATTCTGTCTATTTATACTACCCACAAAACCCTTCTATTTCTTCTGCTCCTCCCCTTTACCTCTGAAACAAACTACCTTCCTGAGGGTTTCTCAGTAAGGGAACAATTATACTAAACAATAAACAGCCCCTTTAATCGCCTAAGTAGAAAGAAGAGCTATAAAAATTGAATTTAAACACTGGTCTAGAATTTAGTTGAAATTATGTTTAGGGATTTTCCTAAATCTCAGGAAGACTGACAGAAATTTGGTAGACTGCCCTTGACTGGAATT